CTGTTTACATTTCCTTTTCCTTTTAATATATTTATATATTTTTATTTTTATTTATTTCACGGTAGCTGATATGGAAGTCCCAAATCTCATTGTTTCCGTTGCAGAATATAATGACAATAAAGGCTTTTTGACTTTTGACTTTGACTTTTGAGATAGTCCATCACGAACCACACTCCATACCAGTAAGTGTCGGTAATGCTACTAAATAAATAAAACAAAGAAGAAGAAGAAGAAATGGGTCCAGTCTGCCGCAAAACACAAAAGAAGAAGAAGAACGAGACGGAGAAGAAGATGCGACTGAATTTATGAATGTAGCCTGACTTGCTAAACGCCGAGATTCCTAAACGTCGTTTTTAAAAATATTTTTTACTTTTGGGGGTGATTTAATATTAAGTGGTCTTCGCGAGGACATCGCTCTCACGTGAATGATTTGACCGCAGTCATATTTATTACCATAGTTTTTTGTACATAATGTCATTAGCCTTTTATTATCAAACTGAAGGACTCTTAGCTACCGCGAAGCTAAGGCAGCTAACAGCAAATGTCTGACCAGTGTTTACTACGTTTAGACTTTAAATAATAAGAGCTTATGGACGAGTCCAAACCCAGCCTTTGGACACGGTGCCTCTTATCAAGCCACGAGTCACAGCTACGGTTTACATGTCCTGTTACTGCGGATTTTTTTGAGCAGATGCTAATGATCTGCTTCCATCTTCAGCAGTCGCTGGACTCAGGTGAAATAACTGAAATCATGTTCTACTAAAACCAGGTCAAGAGATAACGTCTGAGATGATGAAGGTTGAAGAGGAAGACCCTGGAGGGCTCATACCTGCAGCATCCCTATCCGAACTGGAGCAGACACAAGACAGCAAAGATCCCAGTAAGAGACACACAGTTGGTTCCAAGAGAAGAAGTGGACTGATTATGAAAGGAAAATTAAATTCAGTTTATTTAGCTCCAATTCACAACCCATGTCATCTCAAGGCACTTTACAGTACACCAAATCATACAGAAGAGGAGCCTGATAACTAAAAGATCTGCCTCCCATTCTACTTTTAGAAATTCTAGGAACCATTAGTAAACCTACAGATTGAGAGCGAAGTGCTATAAACATAAGGAACAATCAGATCTCTGATATCAGATGGAGCTTGGCCTTTTAAGGCTTTATATGTGAGAAGGAGGATTTTAAATTCTATTCTGGATTTAAGAGGAAGCCAATGAAGAGAACCTAAGATATCAGAAATATATCTTTTTATTTTTCATCAGAACTCAGCTGAAGGCTTTTAACTACAGTTTGTGGACTTCCTGATAGTAAAGAATTACAGTAGTCCTGCCTTGAATTAGTAAATGCATGGACTAGTGTCAAACTAAAACTTTTGCACTTTAAAAGTTCTGGATAGAGAATATCGACAGAAAAAAAAAATTCTTTTTTTTTATCTTAAATGCAATATATATATATATATATATATATATATATATATATTTTTTGCTATTATGTTAGGATTACTGCTCTAATTGGGTTGCTCTGTCAGCTAAGGGCATGTTGTAGACCAGTGGTTCCCAAATTTTTAGGGGCACACCCCCTACTGCAGCGGTGGGCAATTCCAGTTCCTGCGGGCCGCTATCCTGCAACTTTTAGATGTGTCTTTGGTTCAGCACACCTGAATCAAATAATTAGATGATTGAGAGAACTCTGGAGGAACTGACTGCATACTAAGGAGGTAACAGAGCCATTTAATTCAGGTGTTTTGGAGCAAGGATGGATCTAAAAGTTGCAGGATTCCGGCCCCCAGGAACTGGAATTGCCCACCCCTGCCCTACTGTGTCTCAACCAGCTTGATGCATACATCAAAGGAATCAACTAATTTATACCTAATTAAATCAAAGCAACAAGGCTCACAGAGCAAAATAGGATCTTAAAGATATAACTGAAGGATCAGCCAGTGGTCAAATTGGGAAATGTTCCAATAAACTAAATGGATTTGATGTGTTTATGTCATATTTAGCTAATTAATAATGTCTGTGTGTTTGTGTTATTACCAGTAGATCATATGTTGGTGATCAAAGTGATTCCTGATGACTGGAGCCCCAGTTCAGACCAGCAGGACCCAGAGCCCCCCCACATAAAAGAGGAAGAGGAGGAACTGTGGATCAGTCAGGAAGAAGAGCAGCTAAATTTGAAGAGGAATGATGACAAAAAACAAGAACTTTCAGAGTTTCACCAAACCAAAGGTGAAAACATCAGAGAGACAGAAGCTCCAGTCAGCAGCTCAGCCGATCAGCTTAAAACAGAATCCAGTGGAGATGACTTTGGAGGAGCAGAGAGAGACAGCAGCACAGATCCAGGATGGTGCTACCGACATACCAAGACGGACAGAAGAGGTCAAACATCTACACAGTTTTCCCAACTCATCGCTCAGAGTAGATTACAGAGTGGAGAGAATCCGTTTAGTTTCAATGTTTGTGGGAAAAAATTCAAACATGCGAGTAAAGTTAAGCTCTGCATGAATAGCCACATTGAAAATAACTGTGAACTTTGTGGTAAAGGATTCAAAGCAAAGCGCTTTCTTGAAACACATATGAGACTCCACACAGGAGAGAGACCTTTTTCCTGCAGTGACTGTGGTAGAAGGTTCCATGCCAAGACAGTTCTTAAACGTCACATGGAAGTCCACTCAGGAGAAAAACCTTTTTCCTGTGATGTTTGTGGTTCAAGATTTAAAAGGAAGGAAACTCTTAAGAAGCACATGTGGATCCACACCAGAGAGAGACATTTTGTGTGTAGTGTTTGTGGTAAAGAGTTTTCTTATCCACACAATCTAAGGATTCACATGTGTGTTCACACGGGAGAGAAGCTGTTCATCTGTAGTGTTTGTAGTAAAGGATTTTGTGAACAAGAAACTCTGAAGAGACACATGCGCATTCACACAGGAGAGAAACCGTTTGTTTGTAGTTTTTGCTGTAAAGGGTTTTCACAACAAATTCATCTGAAGAGACACATGCATGTTCACACGGGGGGGAAGCGCTTTATCTGTGGGGTTTGCTGTAAAGAGTTCTCTCAGCGGCATCATCTCAAAAATCACATGGAGGTTCACACGGCTTCATTTAGCTGTAGTAATTGTAGTAAACGTTTTGTGAAAGAAATCCAGTTACAGCGACATGTTAGAGTCCACTCAGCAGAGAGGCCATTTGGCTGCGCTGTCTGTAAATGCAGATTTAGCCAGAAGGCTCAACTAGAGAATCACATGAGAGTCCATTCAGGTGAGAAACCATTTGTCTGTGCTGTGTGCAGTAAAGCATTTTCACAGCAAGGAAATCTAAAGAGACACATGGTTGTTCACAAGAACTGCAATTAATGATTTTTGATGGTTGAAAATTATGAAGTAATATTTTTCCGCAGCCCTCTAACCTGGTAAGGCATGTTGATAAGGTGAAGCATTCAGGTTTAGTTCTACTTAATATCAATCTGGATATGCTGATTGGCCGAAAGCGACACCTAGTGCCCGCCTACCAGGGTTTGGTCTTAGCCAATCATGGTAACAAATGAAATGGCAGCAGACACCATCACAAACCAGAAGAACCTACACTTTTACACTCTTGGTGTTCGTCTTACAAAGATGAAACAGTAGATTCTTACAAACCAGGAGTGATAGAAGCAGCTATCTACAAGTTCTCTTGGGCTGCCATGTTTGTTTTGGTTCGGCTGTGGGCTATGCAGTTCTTGTTTTCAACACAGCTATATATCCTGCCTTTAATCATCATTCTGTAATGTGAATGGCCGAACCGTTTTTGGATTTTCTAGAATGGTTTAAGCTGGAGCGGGACATAGAAAATAGAAAATCCCTTTATTGTCCCACAATGGGGAAATTATGGTGTTTCAGCAGCGAAAGCATTACAGTAAAAGTGGTCACACAAATGTGGATGTTAAAAAAGTGTATAAAAATAACAGAATAAGTGGCAGGCTTTAAAAACAACAATAAAATAAAATAAAAAATACAAATAAAATACTGTACTGTATAGTGTTTTTATAATATAAATATTGTGCATTCATTTGAAGAATAAATAATACATGTTTAAATACTGTGAAAATTCAGCTTGCAGCTAAAGTTAGCAACTGTTTTGCAAACTTGAATGCCCTTTATACGTCTCTGCATTGACTACCAATGTCTTTCTGCTCATTCGCCATTTGCTCTGCTTCTGAACCCCCCCACCCCGCTAAATTCTTAAAACTCTTCCCCACACTAAGACTAAAATTCCAAATCCTTCGTAACTGCTCCGTCCCGCCTCCATGAAGCATCGCCTACAGCTTCAGCGATTTCTCCCATCTTGCTCCGCTCCGAGTTCTTTGGAGCTTAAGGACAGCATGCATGATTTATTTATTTATTTTTTTATAATTATTATTTTATACAAAGGAACACAATACAAGATAATGAACCCTTAATTTGAAATTAAATTATTCAAACTTACCATGTTCATCCAGCACACAGGCAATTTCTGCCCAAACCTTTTCCGTTCCTGTGTCTTTAACAAGGATGCCTTGGATCATACCAGATTGTTTTGTTCTTCTCATCAAAATCTACGTGGTCTTCTAGGGCTGAACCAATTGGATTAATTGTGATTAATCGATTATTTAAATAGTCGTTAACTAATTTCGTAATCAATTCATCGTTGACTGGATTATAGAGATTAAAATAGGACTTCAGCTGACAGTGACCCACTCAGAGTAGTAATTATATGAACATTTTAAAAAATAAGATAAAAAAAAAAAAATCTTTTTCATTTACCAATATGCTCTATCCAGAAGTCAAAAAGTAAAGGTTTAGTTTCACCTGGTTTAAATTTGTAAAAAATTTTCTTTAAGGTACTTTTTACTATCCGATTATTAATGGATTAATTGAATGATTAATGGATAAGCAAAATAATTGTTGCGCTCTGCGACAAGAAGTTGCTCTTGAGGCATTATTGAAAGCTGATGTGACTGGATGTGACATTTTTTAGACTTTCAGAATATAAAATATTTAAATTGAGCTTAAAATTCTGCTTCAGTTTTCTTTCAGAATTAAAATCTTTTTTATTTTTGGGGGATATATGAAAATGGTGTTTTAATTTATAGTTGCCAATCTGTCATTACTTTATCGTACAAAGCAGATAGTCCCAGAGTTCTCTTTCCTTTTTAATACAGTTGCAATTGTGGATCTTGACCTGTCTGGATTCCAGCAAAACGGAGCAAAAAAAAAAAGGTGAATGTGGAAATGATCTCATTGATTATCATGTGCAAATGCTACGCCGGACGTATGGGAGCGTAGAATACGAAGGATGTGGAATTTCAGGGATATCCTGCAACTCTTAAGTCTCTTGGCACAGACCACTTTGTTTGCATTTTTTTTTTTATTTGTCTGGAGAGGCTCTGGGTTACATTTTCACATGGGGTGAATAGTACCAAAATTAAAATTACCCTGTGAAGGAGGATTTTTCTGCTTTGATCAGATGTAAATCTAACTGTTAAGCAGCGAAAGGCAATTTTAAATGTATTTAGATTGAATGTGGCAGTAGTAACTTAAAATCTGTTTTTCCTTCAATCAGAGTTGTACATTGGTGTAATTTACTGTGTATATGTAAATTTTATTTGCATTTCTCAAAATGTAACTCAACAATCTGCACTTAGCATATGCAGTACTAAAACAACTAATTAGCAACCCTTCTAAACTTATCAAATTAATTTTCCAGAAGATGGACTGATGTTTTGCTCTAAATAAAAAAAAGTGATACTTGTAACATTTTTGCAGCAGTTTTAAACATCTATTTATTCACTTCACTCTTTGTATTTATTAGCAGTACCTATAATAAATGTGTCTAATTTTATATATTTGCATTTTCTGTTGCTCTGGCTGCATTATCTAATGCTAATGCTGAGGCAGACTGATTTTTGATTAAGGAGAAGTATTGTGCTGCTGTGAGCCATTTTTCATGCACCTTTTTTATTTAAATTAGCCACAGAAAACCAGCAAAACGGAAGCGGTTTCCTCTCTGTATTTTTTCCTTTTAAAGAAAAAGGTTTTAAGATTGTATTTATCCCATTTGTTTTTGTGTGCTTTTAATAAAGGATGTACGGTTTGTCTTTTGATTTAATTGGAATCATTAAGATGATAAATCTTACATGGCCCTTGTCGTTATTTTGGAATGAAGTTGATTCCTCACTGTAATATAAAAGAAACAATAAAACAGAAGTTTAAAATGATTTTTGTTTCTGTGTGGATGGATTACTTTTATCTTGTCTATTTCAGTTAAATGTCATACAATCTGGATGAATATATATTGATTATCTGGTGAATAAAATCTCAACTTTAATGCATGCAGGCACAAATGAGTCTAAATGTTTCTCTTATTCAACTTATTCTCACAATAAGGCTAAAGCTCATAAGTGATCAGGCGTTCACATTTGCCTAAAGTTAAGGAATGTCTTCTATCTACATGATGGGTAGGCACCCTCACTTTCTAATTTACAGCATATTTTTCATAGCTCACACTTTTCCATCCTAGTTCCATTTTTCCATCAATGATTAGCCAATAGATATTTGTCAGAGCAGTGGTTGATCTAAAATGAAAGTAAGCTCTGAAAAACAAGTAGTAATATTCCAGAATTATAGTTCATATTCATTTTTAAAGACATGGGGATAGCATCAAAATATGCACTGATGGTTCTAATGAGCAGGCAGGCAGCACAGGAGCAGTAGTAAACATCCTGCACTATAAAAATAAGAAAATCAGATTTGTGCACTCTGTGCTGTTTAAAGTGGGGGCTGTTGAATTAGCTCAATTGGTTGCTTCATAATGATGTTAGAAACACAGACAGAGCTGTCATTAAATCTGACAGTGTGTTTTAATTAGTATAAATTAGCCAAATATTTTAGAAGGTATTTAAAATGTATTCAATTGTTTTTATCCAACCCTATAAAAATCATTTTGTGCACAAATTATTGTCTAAAAATGCATAAAGATTAAAGTCTTATTTTGGTTTTAATTTTTCCTTGTAAACCAAAGGTCTCAAAGGATTTCCAGGACCTGCCTTCCATGTCCAGTTTTATACACCCAATAGCAGCTGTTTTTCTCCTGAACTTAACTTTTTTATTTTTCAGATCATTTAATAAATTAAAATATCATTAAAAAGTTATTTTATTACATAAAAAATATACAGACTGATTTTTAACCCTTTATTTCAATCAGTTAAGATTTTTCACTAAAGCATTTGAAAACATTTCAGGTTTCATTACATCTCACTAGGAGAGCTTCCACTGTTCTGGGATACAACAAACTAACATCATTGTTAGACAATGTCTCCCATCCTGGATGCTGTTGCTGAACAATATTTATTTTATTTGTGAAGAATAAAATCCCAACTGTGTACAGATGTACAGATAATTCACATGCAAAATTTATTGGGGGGAAAAAAAGTTAACTTTGGGTTTATAAGAGAGCATGACATTTTTACTCCAAGCACTCAGATGTAATCATTAGCTTCCACCAGGAAGAAGGGGATATTAGACATCCTGTAGGCCAACGGGAGGGAAGCTCACATTGCCACTGCTCAGCTGCATCTGGGAATGTCTGACCATTGTCTTGCTTACGCCACAGTTCCAACCGCATATCCAGAGACAGTCCATGGTGGATTCAAACACACACTCTGTGACCATCCACCCTTTTTATGAATTGTCGCAGCATGAAAAGGCTTCCCCTCTACCACTACAAACAACTAATTTATCTTGCGTGCAAACCCATGTGTCTCTTTAAACTAACTGAATGTGAAAATGCTTGACTACAAATATCACAAACAAATGGTTTCTCTCCTGTGTGAACACGCGAGTGACTTTTTAGAGCATCTCGTCGAGAAAATCCTCGATGACAAACATCACAAGTATATGGTTTCTCTCCCGTATGAACATGCATGTGATTCTGCAGGTTTCTTTTTTGTAAAAATCCTTGACAACAAACACCACAAGTAAACGGTTTCTCTCCTGTGTGACCATGCATGTGACTTTTCAGAGCCTCTTGTCGTGAAAATGCTTGACTACAAATATCACAAATGAATGGTTTCTCTCCTGTATGAACACGCGAGTGAATTTTTAGAGTATCTCTTCGAGAAAATCTTTTATGACAAACATCACAAGTAAATGCTTTCTCTCCTGTATGAACACGCATGTGACTCTGCAGATTTCTTTTTTGTAAAAATCCTAGATAACAGACACCACAGCTAAATGGTTTCTCTCCTGTGTGAGTGTGCATGTGACTTTTTAGAAGATATTGTTGGGAAAATCCTTGACTACAAACAACACAAATAAACGTTTTTTCTCCAGTATGAACACGCATGTGCCTCTTTAGATTCTCTGCTTGACTAAATCCTTTACTGCACACTCCACAAGCAAACGGTTTCTCTCCTGTATGAACATACATGTGTCTTTTTAGATTCTTTTGTCGTGGAAATGTTTTACCACAAACCCGACAAATAAAAGGCTTTTCTCCTGTGTGAATATACATGTGACTCTTAAAGCTATTAGAATGGACAAAACTTTTACCACATAAACCACAAATAAATGATTTCACTCCTGTGTGAGTATACATGTGAGACTTTAGATTTCCTTGTCGTAAAAACGTCTTACCACAAACACTACAGCCAAATGGTTTCTCTGTGCTGTGGATCTGTTTGTGTTTTTTAAGGACTTCTTTTAACCAAAATCTTGAGCCACAAAGATCACAAGAATAAGGTTTTTCTTCTAAATGGAGCTTTGTGTGTGTTCTAAGACTTCCCTTTGTACTAAACCTTCTAAAACAAACATTGCATGAAAATGGTCTCTCCCCAGTATGGACTCTCATATGTGTCTGAAGAGAACGCTTTTCTATATATCCTTTACCACAAAGATCACACTTATGTTTTCGCATTCCAGTATGAATTATCATGTGTAACTTAACAGAACGCTTATGTTTAAATATTTTGCCACAAGTACTACACCTGAATAGTTTCTCACCACCCTGGACTACAATCTGGGTTCCAGATTTGAAACATAGTTTTTTACACCTTTTTTGAACTCCCATTTTACTTTGTTGGGAAGGACATGCTGGATCTGGGTCTATGTGCACTTCTGGTTCTGGTTCTGTGCCGTTCTCTCCAATAGGTTGAGCTGAACTACAAGTTAGAACTTCTGTCCTTCTGTTTTCTTTAGGAACACCTTGATGAAGCTCTGTTGACTGAGGTTTCCCTTCATTTTCTACTTTTACAGGAAGCTGCTCTTCCTCCCAACTGATCTGCTGTTCCTCCTCTTCCTTCTTTACGTGCGAGTGTTCTTGATCCTGTTGGTCCAAACTGGGGCTCCAGTCAGGGGTAGAGTCTTCTTCAGTCACAAACTTCTGATGGACTGCAGATAATGAATTACACACAGACAGTGAATATGAATATGACAGTGAGTGATGCTACGCATAAGGCTTCATTCCTGTATGTATCATTCCTGTATGTATAAGAACTGGATCAGTTAGTTAGTGGTTTGTGTCACTTACTGAAATCTTTGCTGTCTTGGTTCTGATCCATTTCTGCTCTGGATGCTGCAGGTATGGGAGACTCCAAGCTGACCCCTTCAGGGTTTTCCATCTTAATTTTCATCACTTCAGACATCCTGGCTCCATTTATGATTCTCCTTTTTACAATTATTGCCTGTATACTGTATCTCCTTATTTCTTCTCCCTTAAACTGGAATCAGACACAAATTAACCTGATTAAATCAAGTGTTTTATCAGAGAATGTAAGCTGCAGCAGAGGTGAAGCGATGCTGCATAGGGGAGAGTCTGATACCTTCCTCAGCTCTGTGTCTCTCAGGCTGTCTCCACTGTCGTTGTTCACAGGTAAACAAGGCTTTAGGGGGAGGGGTCCATAGACAACACCGTCCTCTTCAGAGGAGAGATAATAGACCATTCACTAAACCACGAACTTTAAAATCTAGACGTAAGAAACTCTGATTAGGTCTCTGCTTTAGCTGCTGACATTTGCTTTAGCTCCACGGTAGCTAACAGTGCATTCCACTGCAAACCGGTTAGCTATAGTCACAGAGGCTCAAA